GTTTTGATTTTGAGCAGCAAATTTGGAGTTACATATTGGTGCTCACCAGGAATGCATAGGCAAAATTGCACAAATTTTCACTTGAAAGAATAGTGGCGATCTTGGGATTTTTTTCTGTTCAATTTTCAAACTGTGTAAATTTAATACACTTCATCTTCAGCATGTTTAGTGCCACTTTTGTAAGTAACCACGCCCCCGTCCAGGCCACGCCCCATCCAGGCCACGCCCCTTCCGCTTTTTTCATCACTCGCCATTGCCATGTATGCAAAATTAGCCAGGCCACAGCTCCTTCCACTGAATGGTTGTGAAGCCTCTCGAGTTCACTTATCAGAGCATAGTTAGTTTACTGCCTTTGTCTCATTGCGAAGCGCTGAGCTGTGAGTAAAAAGTGACATGATGATTGTGAGAAAATGTGAACGAAAAAGAAAGAGCAGGCCAGCGGTTCAGTCGCAGCTGGATTTTTTATTGTATTTTGCAAATTAGATTATGTATGGCACAGGTGTCAAAGTCAAGGCCCGGGGGCCAGTTCCGGCCCGCCAGGTCATTTTATGTGGCCCGCAAAAGCAAATCATGTGTGTCAACTTGCTAAAATCTGTACCGAAATGTCAAATCGTCATGTGTAATCAATAACGTTGAGATTTTGCTACCGTTTACACTTACTTGAACAATAATTTGAACAAACTATTATAATCGACTTGACTGATTTCAAAGCTAGTAGTCTATTAATTTGTTGTGTACAAGCAATCATTTTTGTGGTTTCACTGTCATAGCGGCCCTCCGAGGGAAGACGTAACTCCAAATTGGCCCGCGACTAGAATGAGTTTGACACCCCTGATGTATGGTGTTTGTGGTGTCCTGCGATTGGCTGGCAACCAGTTCAGGGTGTCCCCCGTCTACTGCTCGAAGGCAGCTGGGATAGGCTCCAGCACCCCCCGCGACCCTTGTGAGGATAAAGCGGATCAGAAAATGCATGGATGGATGTTGTTTGTGGTAACACGCCATGTTCTGAGTAATTCCATTTCCGAGTTTTGGCATCTGCAACAATCCACAGTGGCTGTTTGTGATTTATAATAAAAGGTGAGACAAACAATTAAGTTCAGAAGTCATATCCTTGAGAGATGTTGCATGTTATTTTTTTTAAGTCCTTGTATCCACAGAGCTATGGGAGCAGACTAGCGCTTGGCCCCGCGAGAGAGAACAACAGCATACAATGGTTTATATGAAAGTAAATAACAAAATATTGTTTACTTTTAAGTGAGAATAGTATTAGCATACATCGGCCTTGGCCAACTTAAGTGTAATTTGTAGATGTAAGTCTATCACTGTCAAACCATAAAACTGGGCAGTGTGTGGATGTGCGGGAGTGGGGGTGCGTGGGGTGGCGAATTACTGGGATTATCGATGGAATAATCGTTAAAATGATCAGATTAGTTTCTGACAGCCTTACTAAAAGCACAATAATAATCGTGATAAAACTGACCATTCATTTATTTCCAAAATTGTTGATGTAAATCAAGTTTTGTACCTTATGCTATGGCAGATGATTGCATCTCTCAATATTGTAATAGAATGTTTGGTCTGTATCAATTTGTTCTTTTTTTTTTGTTGAGAGAGAGGGTGATTGTATCTTTGCTTTTGTTAAATATACGGTATGTATAATTTGCACAGATGGGCATGAGTCAAAAGACTTCTGTTGTGGCAAAACACAGGGGAAGTGCTGCCCTACATCTATATATAGATGTATATAATGTAAATATAAATCTATGCATATCTGTACAATGCATGGTCAAGACAGGTGGGGGCCATGGGTCATTGAGTTAGTCAGGAATTGCGCCACTGTAATTCTGTTGGCACGACACAGGGTGCTGCGTCGCTCCTGCCTGAACTTTAGCACCTCTAAACTCCTCCGCTGCCCGCCCATTTGCCAACTGTCCAAAGACAGTTTGCCAATCAGATGTTATTAAAACGGTCTGATAGATTTTGTTTTGCTGCACAGTACATGCTGTACACCACGCTCATTTGATACATTCAGAATTGCTGCTTCACCACAGATGTCTGCTCATTCATTCATTCATTCATCATACTGACGTTCCATAAATGATGATGGGGGCTGCCATGTTACATTAAAATGGCTAAAGTGTAAAGCCGTAAAGCTCTGCTAGTGTCAATTGGAGAGAGAATGAGATGAGAAATCTGAATTTGAACATAACTGTTAGAAGCAGCTGTGATTAAATTATAGTCTCGATAATAAATTAATCCTGTAGTCAACCATTCATCGCTATCAGATAGATGCCACGAGATATCAGTGTGGACAATGAGAATAATAGCCTGAGTGGCTGTGGAAAAAGAGTCTCTTATATATAATTACTCATCAGCCAAAGTATGGTAAACTGCTGTTTAATCAAACCATAGATCACACGTGTCAAACTCAAGGCCCAGGGGCCATATCCGGCCCGCCATGTCATTTTATGTGGCCCGCGAAAGTAAATC